CACCGACATCACCACATTAAACTAGTACTCAAGGAACAGTGGTTTAGTCGCTGTCATCGGCGTGCTTTGGACCCTATGGTACGAGGATTGATCCTAGCCACCGCCATCCGACTTTGGTTTTAGGCAGCTCTGTTGTCGTCCGGTTCTATACCACACCTAACCTAGCTGGGCCTTATGTGGTTCGCCACTCCAAGTCCCAGGGCTTAGATCGTCAGTTTCCACCAATGAACAGCAGGTCCTCATGACTATGGGGTTCGCCCCCTTTGCTGTTCACCACCGTTATACGTGTAATAAAAAACCACTTCTGCGCATTTCGGTAATCGAATAAAATCTCACTACTCCTCTAGTGAGAATTCAAATCCGGTCGCAGCTCACCCGAATCGGATGTCACATGACTGGACGGCCTTGTTATCAACTTCACCCGTTTTGATAGGCACAATGATCTGTACTTCATTTATTGACCGTGTAAATAATTTTGATATAATTACAGTAAGCCCGCACCAGTTCCGTAACCTGTGCTCTTCCTAGAACAGAGGCGTACAGATAAAAATATCTACTCTATGTGCTTGTACCTGAATCCATATCGTTCGATTATTTTATGAAACTTTCCGTCTTAGTTTTCCCGTCTTTTGCTATGTGACAGTCGCACCGCGGACTAATGTTTCGGAAAACCAGGTCAGTGTTATTTGCCTGTTATAAGCGTGCAAAGTAATACTTGTACCGGCGTGACCGGGTTCGGCTCCGATTCTCCTGTCGAATTCCCCAACTGGACTTCGCACCCAGACGTTAGTTATGTTTCACCTTACGCTTTTACTAATGGACAAACAAGTATACTGCCAGACAACTCTGTCATGTTGCACACATACACTATCAAAGTAGTCGTTAACAAACTAATACCCACCCACACAGACTCATACAGACAGAGGATGAAGAAAGCGAAACAATCAACGTTGACGATCTGGGTTGACAGACCTACTCAACACAGTGAGTTGAAACGCCCACAGCGCGCTGACTGGCACATGTTTGACATATGGTAATGCTCTTTCTCTCTCTCACGTCGGAAAAAATGTGCGACAACTTGCCAATTGCAGTACATCTGTTCGAGATCGACCCCCAACTGCTATGAGATCTGTGTGTGCATGCGTGTGACAGCACCACGGAAAACGACTGCAGTGACAACTCCTAAACATGAGCAGATTGTTGTTGTACCAGCTCACACTGTGTGAACTTCAATGTCAATTATGTCTGGTTCGAACATCCGTGTCAATCTCTTTTTTGTCAGTAAACTTGCAATAAGTGTTCAATCGTGAACGGAACAACAGCTATACTGGAACAGATATCTGAGGTACAGATAATATTGCGAAGTCGGTGCGTTCCGATTCGTACAATTGCGTATTATGTAACAGATCACTCATGCAAGAGTGTGATCGTAAATGTTATTCTCTTACATCAATATAGAAGGAAGACAAATATCGCGAGATGTTAACATTTCGTTTGATCTTCTCAATCGCTGACTTAAAACAAACAGGCATATATATATATATAGCACATGGGGTTGTTGAATGATGGTGAATAGACGTGTATAAGCACTTGTCTTGTTTCTATATTGATGAAATGGATAAAGGGGACCCAGTGCTTCAAATACTCTCTTACACCTGATAGAACTGCGTAGCCGCAAACGCTGATGAAAATCAGAGTTGAGTAAGGATCCGAAAACTGGTGTTCACCAAACGATTCACTGAATGAGCGGAAACACTTTGTTCAAATGCGATCAGCTTCAACTGAAGGCTGTGAACAGTGAGTTCGTGTCTGGGGTGTCATGCCCTGAGTTGGACTCTGAACCATCAATGTCTGTCTGGCATAATACAGATATGATAAAGCCAGTAGATTGAAAACACTAAGGTAAGATGTTTCAGGTTCGTGAGTATTTTGTATTACAATAACTGAATACAAATAGTTAGGATTGGTCAGGATGTGCACAATTTCCGTTTAGTCTACCCGGATGCAACTGGAGGAGGGAATTCGTCGTGTATAGAGCAAATAAGTGTGAACTAAAAAGCTAGGAAACACTACTGTATAGTTGTTCCGATCTGGTTGGGTCTCATTAACAGTGCGAATCCATTGACCCAACTGGGGATCGAACCCGGGAACTAACGCAAGTACGCTACCCACTCTGTCACCAGTTGGGTCGATGGATTCGCGCTGTTGATGAGACTCAATCAGGTCGAAGGAGATGTACGGTGGTGCTTCCTAGCTTTTTAGTTCACGTTTCATTTGCTCTATACACGACGAATTCCCTCTTTGAAATTGAATCAAATCTTCTGTTACTAACATGTGGCAACTAAAGGAAGTAATATTGCATAATTTGAATTGAGGAAATAAAGCAGTGCACACCAACACTGGTGAATTGCTCGCTCAGGACCCCGAGCGAGGACCAAGACTGCCAAATGGAGATTATAAAACCCGTAGCTTGAACTCTATCAAGGCTGTGCACTCCCGTAAATCAGAATTGTTTGTTGAAGAAGACAGACTCAAAAAAAATCAATATGGTCACCCATATTGCGTCATCTACACTCTGTCTCCTCTTTCACTGTTACTCTCTTTTTAAACAGTTAGCACCATGTCTACTGGCACAGACAAATCAAACACGAATCAGTCTTTTGAAACTGCTGTTTGATAAAATTAAGAAAAATATTTTACACCCGACGAAAGTATCCGTGATTGCTGAGACACCCAAATATGAAAAAGTACAACCGGTATGAACTAGCCCCAAGGAACCACATACGAGAAACGATCGTGTGTTCCGGGGTGGGTGGTTTGAGCGGTGCGAGGGTGGGTCGGCGGGTAGATGTCACTTCTCATTATTCCGATGACAACTAGGGCGGGATAATTGTTTTCAGGCCCATTGTAACTGAACTATTCAGACGCCTGGTACACTCGTTTGGAAGTGACAGTCATGTGGCGGCATAACTTACCAATGCAGGCCATACAAAGGAAGCTGTTGACGACAATGATTGCTCAACAATACTTGCTCAAGATTAAATTCTGAGTTTTATTAAGTGGGTGGTAATCGGTAGTCCATTATCGATCCTGTTTGACTAGATGGAGTTAACATTACTGTTATACGAATAAGACATAAGTGGAAACCGGAAGAAGAATGGTTTTAAACGAAGGTATTTTCGGCAGGAAATTTGTCCTCAAGGACTAGATAATATGTGTTCTGAACGGACGAAGGAAACCACCAAATCGGTGGAAATAACAGACAATATTGCACACGATTTTCGGTTCACTGTAGACTTCAATGGCACCACAGCACACACACTGAGTAGCACAATTAACGGAAGCAAATCCACTAACGACGTCGATCAGGTAACAATAATCTACCCCTCTCCCTTGTTTCTTTTTCCCTCCTGTGAATGAATTGTAAGCCACGTTTTCCTTATGGGTAATGCTACTCAAAAGGTTGATAATCCCTTTTAGTTGAAAAAATTGCTTGACTTATTGTTGTTGTTGTTGACCGATTCGGTCTAAAGAGGTTCATAATGATTACGTTGAAGTTCGTCGATCATCAATTTACCTGCAGCAGAAACCCCCTCCCGTCCTCTTCTTCTCCCTCAACCCCCTTCCCCAGAAAATAATATCTGATACCTAAATTTCGATTGCATACATTCATTCTCCACGGCTATATGACCTCCCTCGTGTCTCTTCTCAGGGTTACCAGAGATCAGATATATCACGTGACCCTCCTTCTTATTGTTAGATTGCAAGAAATGTCCTGGTTGATTTAGTTGTTAGCAATTCCTTTTGATCTCTGCAATCGATTCGTCGCTAGAATGCTGTCTAGAATAAAGAACAGTGTGTGTGCACTTGGAACTTGTCAAGCCTATGTTGTGCACCTGCATACGTCCCAAATCCTTACTTCTCCCAGCACGTGTCATCCTCTGTCGGGAATTGCATCATTCCACGTATTGCTTGACCCGAGTCATTGATCCAGTTTCAATTCCGATCACCTCCTTCTATCAATAGTCTATGCAGCAGCCCTCCTTTTTCCGTACGCAGCGCCCTGCGTGCGTTGATAGAACCGAGACAGCAGCTAGTGATTGGTTTAGTGATTGACTCAGTCAGTGAACACATTTCTGAACCTCTGCCGCTTCCAACCATCGTATTTTTCTATTCTTCGTGAACTTCACTTATGTGGTCAGTGAGTGAAGCACTTGTTGACCATAGAACACCGATTTAAAAGTTTGCAAAGGTTCTGTAAACACAAACCAGTATTTGCATACCTATAAAAGTTCGACAATGAAACAAAACCCGCGAAGTAATACAAGCTGACCATGCCAAAATGCTGAATACTCGATGATGATCGATGGTGCCTCGTGGGTGGATTGTAGCTCGTCAACTCTCCCAAACGGTACTATCCAACGAGCAAGTACACACGCAGAGTGAGTTGCCGAGTCTAATTACGAAGTGTCGCTTAACAATCAATGGCAGATAGGATTGAGACCTCAAAGTTGGAATCATAAATTGTGGTCGCAAAAAGCAGGTTTGTCAGCTCGCAATGACTAGCACAAGCAACCTCGCAACAACAACAACAACAACGACGACAAAAACAACAACAACACCAGCAATCTCTATCAAATTGCGGTGTCAAAAGTGAACATGATGATTGTAGTNNNNTACACATTGTTTCTCAACGAACTATCTTCCTGTATCGGATTAGTTCAATTTAATTAATGATTATATCTATGAGCCTGAGCTACATGAAATCGCTTCAAATCTACCTATATCCTATTCAAAGAAAACTACTATAAATACGGATATAGAAGCATACTAAGGGAAATCAATTTGCTCGCGACGAGTTTATTTGCAACAGAGTTTCTCATGGCGCCTACCAATATTACCATGGTGATCAAGCTTATGGTTCAATGCATTAGTAAGTCCTTTGTTTTTGACTGGGCTCTGACAATATATTCGGGACAAAAACGTTCACCCTCGCTCACCTTAGCCGAGTCATTCCAATTGGACCCCGGAGGACAGACGGAATGCCGCTCGTAGTGCGTGGGAACACGAGCTGTATGAGTCTCTGTGGGGACTGTGGTACTATTATTATTATTATTGTTATTATTATTGACCAACGGTTCAATCATTGGATTCCAACCAACCGCTTGTGCTGAACGACCTTTTCCCGATGCTTGTGCAATGCCTGTCACCTGCTGGTTCTGGGTGGCCATCATTGATCCGACGCCCGAAATTCCCTGCTGATTTTGTTCTGGCCAAGTGGGCAACTTCTCCATGCTGCTACTACGCGCATGACGTTCGAGTGCGTGCGGTGCGGTCTGATTGCTACGGTATGCGGAAGAGGCTCTCGCACTACGCCACGGTACAGTATTTGCCAGTCCGGCCTTAGAACGATGCGTCGCATCTACAGACGAGTCCAGGGAATAGTTTTGTCTGGATTGCATTAACCAGGAGGAATGGGTTTGATGTTCAGTCTGGTTCGGGTCGGTTTGACGTGGATCGGTAAAGTATGCGACCATCGGGGACGTATACTCATACTTTACAGCTGGCAAATAATCTGGACATCCGTAAGTTACCGCTGGTGTGCTCATCATCAATAACTCTGTGGTGGCATCCCGTTGAGCCATCGGATGCGTGTTCCATGGGGAAATGAGCAAGCCGGGATTGTGCACAGAATGTTGCATGGCTGGATGAGTTGGGTAATAGTTTCCGTGACCGAAGCGACTTCCCCGACTGAAATCTCCGAGTGGATAAGCAGAATTGCGAGTAGAGGACCACGGATTAAATCCATAACCATGAGTACCAACAGAATAGTTGGTCAAACCGGCACAACCGAACGATCGATCCGCACCCGAGGTGATTGTGGAACCATGAGTTTTGGAATGAAAACCACCACGTGGAAGCAAGAAAGAATCAGCTGTGCCCCGTGCACCGAATCGTCCACGTCCACCGCCAAGACCGGCACCTGCGCCGCCACCACTGGCACCACCGCCTCCACTATCATGTCTACGATCATCCGTTCCCGGCGCTCGGGAGTAACCTCGAAGTCCATCTGCTCCGCCACCGCCACCACCACCACCACTACCAGCACCACCATACGTTCCTCCAGTTGCTCCACCACCCCCACAGGGTCGGTCACTCCAACTTTCACCTTTGTGTTTCTTATTGGCGTATACCTGAAATACATCAGAAACAAAAATATTACAACGGTAAAATAGACCGGTCTTCATTGAAAACCTGGTGCTGAGGACCTTAAGCTAAATGAGACCAGCGATTTGTTTTGGTACTCAGCTTATTTCGAATATGTCCTATTATACCTGACAAAATGAATAAAAGTAATATCAAGTTATATTTCTTATTTGGTGTACAGCTTTACTATGAGTCACAAATCAACCTTTAGATCTATCAACCAGATGAGCCATCACAAGTTGCTTTAATGTGGGTGTGTGCGATCGATACTTCGTCATCTAAGCGTGAACATCAATGTCAATGGTTCCAGGAATGCCAAATAACCAACCCGCAACTATCAGACCGCCGTATACTACTTGATCATCGAATGAACTAAAATGTACTTTGTCACTCACGACGAAGACCATGGATGGGACAAAACAAAATCAACAGTGGACAGCCCAGAGTTTTCATGCGCCTCAATAACAAACGTATATACAATTCGGAATAGAGCTTGAGCAACTTCATCCCCACGAGTACTGGTTGACTCAGTTTGACGAGTGCAGCAGTCGATCTGTGATGTTATTCTTCTTTGTTGACGAGTCTTATAAAGTTTCTTCATTAGATGTCTCCACAAAAGAACCGGGTAGTGATCGAATCGTACGCAAACTCATGTAATGCAGGATTGAGCCGTATCGGTATTGGGGGCCAGAGCCAATAGAGATGGGGCATATACAAAATGAATTTTTGAATTCTAAAAGTGCAGACATCGTGATGAGCATCAGTGGCCCCAGTACAGGATAACTAATCACAAAGGCCGTTTGATCACCTAAACCAACCACCCGACAATGAACTTCAGCGCCCGTGACAACTAAGAATCAAATTGTTCTTGTTATCGCCCTACCCTCCTAGATCAAAGCTGCCGCCATGAACACAGCGCATGTCAATCAAGACAAACATATCCCGGTCTAAATGCAGTGCCCTTCAAGCTCTACTTCATATACTCAATTCGACTCGATCAAACCGCTTTACTATTGCTCTGGTCTTGTCCGTAGGTCATCGAAAAAATAACAAAAGGGACATGGGAGCCTGGTAATCTTCATTCATTGTTCCCATCTTATAGAAGCAACATTGATAGCATACTCTTGATCCGGGGGTCATCATTCCCCCGAGAGATACGCGATATCATTCGTCTACAGCTTCTGTTGCGTCAGGAGATTTGGTCATTATTGAGTAACTAATCAATGGAATGCAGTCAATAGAGGCGAACCGACAATTAACATCATACCATTCCCATCAACATTTCTACAAATGGCAAGAACAACACATCTTGTAAATTAAACGAATGTTTGCACTGCTTTAAGTGTATTCTGTTATGCTCCATATGCGTCTTGTGAACGGGACCTGCAGACAGCATACTGTTGATTCTTGATGAATAAACAAAGATTGTGCTGAAAATTCTATTGTCTACTAATGCGCTATTGGTCGAGTGCAACCTTAAAGCATAATGAACAAAGGCCACCTCATTACTGCATTACTTCATCAATACTTATTAAATATAGCTTGGTCATACAGAATCCATGTACCACTTGCCGTTAGAAGACCTTTGCAGAGTTTATCCTACTTGTTAAGAGCCACCAGAAATCGATATTCACCCAGCCTTTTGGAATTTGAAACCGAGCATGTGGAAAACAATTCTAAGACGATAATTCTTTGAACCTTCCAGGCGGACACTCGATAACTTCCTACTCGTCAGCACTGTATTTCATTAGTGTCTGAATAACATTACCATGCGTTTCGGTTGTGCTCGGTTGATAAAAAACAGCCAATTTCCCCATTCTCAACGCATACCGTGACAAAGAGAAGTTTCTTGAGAGAGAGAGAAATCAACGTTATAAAGCAGCTTATACAACTGAACCCAAAGTATTTGGCCGCTCATGAATGTTGCGTTTTATTAGGAATCTCGCGAACGATCTTAAAAGATGCCTATGGTGCCTAGTTAGTGTCCTGTCTTTCATTCTGTCAAACCAACTGGTTACCGCATCTATGTTAGGTGACTCCGGTTGTCGAGAGAAGGAGACATATGGCTTCCTCTCTTGCTGGAATGTCCTTCACCTCTGAGTTCCACCTTATCAGTTGACCTTTGGGTGGTTTCTTCGGAGCTTAAAGCG